TCTTGGGCGGTGTGGCTAGTGCACTTGCTGGTGAAGACTGAGGCAAAAAAGTCACTGAGTACCTCAGCCTTTTCCATATCCCAGCTAACCAGGTCTCCCATTCCCTTCTGGAGAGGGCCCACATTTTCCCTAATCTTCCTTTTATCACAGACATACTTATAGAAGCTTTTTTTATTGCCCTTGACATCCCAGGCCAGATTTAACTCTACCAGGGCTTTAGCTTTCCTAACCTGATCCCTGGTTGCTCAGACAATTTCTTTGTATTCCTCTCAGGCTTCCTTTTTGAGTCTGAGTTTGTCCAGGAGCTCCTTGTTCATCTATGCAGGCCTTCTGGCATTTCTGCCTGACTTCCTCTTTGTTGGGATGCATTGCTCCTGAGCTTGGAGGAGGTGATCCTTGAATATTAACCAGCTTTCCTGGGCCCTTCTTCCCTCCAGGGCTTTACCCCATGGTACTCTACCAAGCAAATCCCTGAAGAGGCCAAAGTCTGCTCTCCCGAAGCCTAGGGCAGTGAGCTTGCTGTGCGCCCTCCTTGGTGCCCTACGGATCTTGAACTCCACCATTTCGTGGTCACTGCAGCCAAGGCTGCCCTTGAGCTTCACATTCCCCACCAGTCCCTCCTTGTTGGTGAGAACAAGGTCCAGCATAGCACCTCTCCTTGTTGACTTCTCTGTCCCTTGGAGAAGGAAGTTATCATCAATGCATTCCAGGAACCTCCTGGATTGCTTATGCCCTGCTGTGTTGTCCCTCTAACAGATGTTGGGGTGGCTGAAGTCCCCCATGAGGACCAGGGCTCGTGAACGTGAGGCTGCTCCTATGTGTCAGTTGAGGGCCTCATCCGCTCGGTCTTCCTGATCGGGTGGCCTGTAGCAGACCCCCACTATAATGTCACCTGTCCCTGCCTTTCCTTTAATCCTGACCCATAAGCTCTCAGTTGGCTCCTCATCCATGCCCAGGAGGAGCTCCATGCACTCCAGCTGGTCATTGACATAGAGGGCAACACCCCCTCCTCCTCTTCCCTGCCTGTCCTTTCTAAAGAGCCTGTACCCTTCCATTCCAACACTCCAGTCATGGGAGCCACCCCACCATGTCTCCATGATGCCAATAAGATTATATCCCTGCAGATATGTGCACGTTTCTAACTTCTGTTGTTTATTATTATGTATACTTAGTTATCCACTCAATTTCCTGTGTTGTATCCATGACTTTGCATGCATTTGAGTGACCAGCCAGGCTAGGAAAAACTGGCTTTGTAGGGTCAACCAGTCGATCAGTACAGGTATTGAAGTTCAGCCCACAGTAACTATACATGCAAGAAAGGGAACAGTTACACGCATATTTGCATGCCCTACGTTTTTAAAATTGGGCTCTGAAAGCCTTTAGTTAAATTAACAGGTGTGCATTCTGGCCTCTCAGAATCTTTTGTCCACTTCATCTGTTTTGGGGAAGGATATAAATGGTTGCAGAAGGAGATAAAAGACATACTTTTTCTCTGGTGTTTTCAGAATGGTCACAAAGGCCTTATTTTCCCTGCTCTCCTTACTTTTTTCCCCATTTTTGCCCTTTGGATGCACTGTATGTGATAGAATAACTACCTGATTCTTTTTAATATTAAAAAGATCAGAACTATGTTTCGAACATTTTCATATTGTATTTTGCCATGGTTACATAGACAGAGGAGGATTAGAAGAGAGGTTGGGCTAACAACAATAATTGCGCTAAAGTTTAGTGACTATTTCCTCTATACTGCTTAGCAATTTTAAGTTTCATTGCTTTAAAATTGCTTATTTCCTTTACAGCTTTTGAATAGTCTCTCTTATGTAGCTAGCAAGCAACACTTGGAAATTTGTTTTTCACTTCAGGGTGTATTCATGCATTTGTGAGCTACTTTAAAAAAAATAACCATAGAAAATATCCTTATACAATTCCATGTGGCAATTTAACTTCATGTAGTCTTTAGAAAACATGTATTTAATCAGATCGATATCACATCAGTATCAGATGCAATGTGGAGCAGTTAGTGAAGCGGTATTTTCCGTTACAAAAGGCAGCCTTTACCCAAACATTTCCAAGGCATATTTCTCATGAGCAGAGATATTACATCACAGTTTTTGGTTTAGCAAGGACTTAAGCCTGCACACAACTTCAAGTAATCGGCTAGTCTTCTGAAACTAGGATTTGCAACTGAAGACCTTTAATTACACAACTATTTCAATGTGTTACTGAATGAGGACTCCCATCCAAAAATTTCTGCTGTGAATAGATCTCACTTCATTTATCCAGAGTGTGCAAATGTGTGCAAATCTTTGGAGAGCAGGACTACAGTTTCTTAGGTCATCTGAAAGTGTGGGAATGCATGGGTCTGTACTGTTAATAGCTGGACTTTTCCTTCAGCAGCCTGCAGACTTGTCATGATCTGATTCTTCCGAAAACATACTTTAGTAGTCTGCTTAACATTTAGCTTCTACTTTTTTAATTGACATGTTTCCCAGGAATTATCCTGAAAGTGGACAAGATGATTTCTGTTGCATCATAAAAATGACTGGCTACAAGTAGTTAATATTACAGCCTGTGAAATCCTAGATTGTACAACAGGCAACACATTCATCTTTAAAACAGAAGATGATCGATACTTATTTCTCAATTTTCTTTGAATTCTTTTTACATTATTACTTTGTGACAAATTTTAACAAAATGTCCTAGACCATTCTAGTTACTTTATCTTCTACAGATATAGAAACAGCCACAGGCATGAAGTTGAAAGTACATTTTGAATGGAAAAGACGCTGTTATAGACGACCTTTTAATCTAACACTGTACTTTGTCAAATGCGGCAAATAAAGCATTAGGGTAACTGTCTATTTTACAAGACTTGCCTATGGATTTTCTTAAAATTGCAGTCATAATCATCAATACAATTTGATCTGTCTTGGATTCAGGAAAAAAAAAAAGTACTGTTGGGAGCATAACAGTTAGATGAAATCTGGCCAGCATTTCAGGCTTTTTTATTTTAGAATGCCATGCTGATTACAATCAGTAGATGCAGAGAATAATGGCCTCAGCAAGGCCAGTATGATTTGTTGTATCAGTAGAGACGGGAAAGGGGAGGGAAACTGAAGCCAAAAGCATGTATTTATTTTAAGACAATCACACTTCTGCATCTATTCTGTTAGTTCATAACTCCTATCCCAATCCATCATACTTTATTTAAGCTGTTGTGGGGGTATTTTCCACCTTCCAAACTTCATGAATCATTCCTAGGCAGGCTAAAGCCCATGTGTATTTGAAGTTATTGTCTCTTAATTTCTTATTTTTCAGATATGCTCCAAGTTTATATGGGTTTGGGTTTTGTTTGTATCTCAAGCACTTGACATTAATTTTGATCACTATATCTCATGTTGAAGCTGACTGCCTGAATGTGGTTACTACCTTTTTCTTTTTTTTTTTTACATCTTTAATTTTTGCTTTCCTGTTATTGATTGTAGACTGTCTTCGTAATTTTTTTTTACAGTTTTTATCTAAATATAAGGAATATCCTCTTTTATGGAAAATATGCCTGGTCATAAAGCAGACTGCTTCTGATAGTAGCCTTAAGATGCTAAGCATCTTCATTTTACTGAAAAATGATTATCAGTTTTAAATATATGAACACTGGGGAGCAACTCTGGCCTGTATTAGAGGACAGAAAACCTACAATTATTCTCTAAGGATACTGTAGTTCTGGAGATACTGCGGTTCTGAGAAATGTCGCCAAAATAGGCATTTTCATGGCAGGTCTCTGAAGGACTTTTTAGAACACTTGATACTCTCCTAGCTCCCAGAGGATGTGATTTTTATTTATAGGTTTAAGCCAGTCATTCAGTGACTAGATAAGACTTGAAATAGCTTCCCTTCAAACAATTAAAATACAAAGTAAGGTAATTAATTAATTGAAAGCAAGGAAAGATTGGCCAGGCACTGCATTTATGTAATAAAGCTATACCTTTTTCCTGGCTATATTGTAAAAGGGCTTCTGTTCATGCTTAAAGTGAGACAAAAGGTACAATGAAGCATATGCCTAAACCACGGCAGTGCCATGGTCTTTAGCACTTGCCGTTTTCTTAGGCTGAAGTATTTACAGCACTTAGTGGGAAGTATTCATGGCGCATCGTAAAAAACCCCACTTCAACAAGTTTGTTATTACTCTCCAACAATGTTGTAGTCTTGAAATATTATTGGAAGTCTAGCAACATTGGGTATCCTCCCCAGAGTCAGGTGAGAATCTCAGTTTTTAACTGAAATAACAAGTTTCTAACCTTTTTGGTTACAAATGAACAAACCCACAGACATGAAAATGTGTTTGTCAGAGATACTAAATTTCACAATCCAAACAGCAAATAAAGAGAAGTCAGTCTCATGAGACTAATGTCATGGATTCTCAGCCAAGCTTATGATTTTAGGGAAATAATAACCTGACAATAGAGAAACAAATACGTAAAGCAAGTAAGCAAACTCTGTCCTGGAGTCAAGTACTGTGATAAAGACAGTAACCTATCCAGTGCTGGTCCATTCTGTGTTCATGGATGAGCTCCTCACCTCCTTCTTTCACTGCTAGGGAGGGAGGGTCTGGCATATTGTAAAGGAGTTTGAAAAAGACTGGCTGGGCAGTGGAAATTCTTCCCCTTTGCAACTAATGCAGAAAATATCCAGGAAGGACTGATAGGCCAGCCATGTGTATGGCAGGATAAGCAGAGAATGGGGAAGGCATGCTAGGAGTGTGGCCACTATGCAGGACACTGGAGAGCTGCTGTCAGTCCACCTACAGTTCTTTTTAACTAAACCATGGGCTCTTCAAGCCTTAATTCCTTAATTAGAGCAATTAAGAGGAAAGAATGAAAAATGGTTTCCTGCTATCATAGCCCTTGGGTTGTTAATGGCAAATTTCCTAACAGCTAATGGGGCAAGTGTGCTCTCAATATATCCTTTTGTCCTGCTCACTACATCCTCTAGATCAGACACTTCTTTCCTTCCTTCCCAGTCATTGGGATTTTCTTCCAAGGAAGCCATGCTATAGAAAGATGTAGGTGGAAAGGCATTGCAGACAGCTGGGTCCTATCCTTTTATGCTATCAGGATATGACAAGGTCAGCAATCTAAAACACAGAAGCACACTCAGGCCTTACAGCTTAGACACTTTTATTGAGACAGAAACCACTGGAGCTCCAGGCACATTTAAGACTTTTCCTTGCAGGATATGTCAGGAGTACATTAAATTAGCCTGTGCAGGTTATCACTGTTGTAGCAGCATTAAGTTCAGTGCAGGCCAGCCTTGTTGGTTTTGGCCTGGTTGCTGGCAGGCTCTGAGCTTCAGGCTGCTGCATGAGCACTGTTGACTACTTCTGCGCTTACCTGGAGTCTACAAGAACTGACCTATGCTACTGTAACTGCAGGACAAACCTGTCCCAAGTGCATCCTGTTGTTGGATCAAAGGCTAATTCTGTAAATAACACTGAGAACAAACCATCAATAATGCAGAGCATCATCTTACCACAGTTACTGCATAAAACCACTGAAAAATCCAATGATAATTTCTAGAAAGCAAAGAATAACAGAAGAAAACACAATGTTTACAATACACTAATTTAAAAATGTTTGACATTTATTTTCAAATTGAAGTCAATGACACATTTCTAAGAATCTGGACTGCAACTGTTAATTATGGTGCAACCCGATTGTCAAAGCTCCTTTGCATACACAGAGGAGGCCTTTTCTGAAACATGTCGGTGAAAAGCCTGCATGAAAAATATTGCTTTTTGAGCCTACTTCTGTGCCACCAGGTTATTTCACCTTAGTGAAACATCTCATTACCAGGCCAAAACCACTAACTGCCTCATTAATCACCTGTAAAATTGTAAAAGAAAAGGACATTTCAGCTAATAACCAAGCAAGTACTCAAAACACAGCCAAAGCACTTGAGTGCAGCAAATACTGAAACTGTGTGTAGCTCAGCAAAATAATAATCCATGTACAGCTACATCTTATGCACTCTGTTTATCACAGCTTTAATTTAGTAAGGTTCATAGGGATACAAATTATTCCAAGAGGGAACACTCTGAAACTCTGAAGTCCAAAAATTATCCTGATTTCTGACCTGTGTTGAGTGGACACTCTGTTTTGCAAGGGCCTAAAGCGTGGATGAACAAAAATTTGTGATGCTTACACTTCCTTGTAGCCTCAGAAGATGAGACACAGCTCCTGACAGAAAAGGACTAGTTTTCAGGATAAGGCACTGAGGTGTTGGATGGAGGTACCTCCTTGTAGATCTAAGTGGGATATCATATATGCAACTTGGGCTATTCTCAGTGTTTCTGTACAGGGTACATACATCCTCAGCTCTTGGTTTTCATTGGCTTCCCATGCACATGCTTCTTGGATCCCATTTTAAAGATTTTCAGGTGCTTAATTTCTCTCTGCACAAAGGATGCTGCCTTCTACTTCAATGGCCAGACACTTAAAATTTACTGTACCCACCTTTTTAGATTTTGTATTAATTCCTGACTTGGTTATCCTCAAAAAACCCCCAGCACAGCTGAGCTGCAGTGAGATCTCATCTTTAACATGTGTCACCAATACACTTCTTTAATATATGCTAATTATACCTTGTCAGATACAGCAATGGTGACCCACTTTGAAGGTAACATGAACGTATAGATCAAATCTAGGCCTGAGAACAACTGCTACTGGCAGATGGTTGTTAGGGAATAAGGAAACCATACTATTAAATATAGTTCCAGAGAGTATTTACAGAGCTGATCAATGTTAAAAAAATGGTTTTCTTCACTGAAAAAAACACTTTACTGAGGATTTATTAACAAATAGATAACACTCAAGCTTTTAGCAACCTTTTTTACAGTAGAACACCAGAATAAGTGTTTCTACCTAGCTGAAGAAAAAGAAGGAAGAGAGTTCCCGAAAGAGGAAAATTCAATTTATGCTAAAAATTCCCTGCAGAGTATGTAAGTGATTTAGCAAACTTCATTTTCCTGAAAGCACTGCAGGAAAAGTCCTCGGCCTTATTCAGTGTTGGTAAATCATCCTTACTTTTTATTTATTCTGGTCCAGATTTACCGGTATCTGTCTGCCAAATGTACATCCTGCTGTGGAGTAATGTGCTTTGGTTAACTAGATGTTTATTTTGTTATTTTTTTGTAAAAACGTACATAAAATTCAAGCTCTTCAATTAAAAATATTCTGCAGCATTATTAAGAATTATACAGACTGTAAACCTTAGAACTTAGTGTTGTAGGTGAGAAACAACATTAACGTTTGTGCACAAATGAGTACTCACTTCAGGGCCTGGTTCACCAGAAGCTCCATCTTCCCCTGGTGACCCAGGAGGTCCTACACCTGAATCGGGTGCTGGCTTTCCCGGAAGACCAGGCAGTCCTGGAGGGCCTGGTGGCCCAGGAAGACCCTGGATGAATCAGCAGCATCATTAGAAATGGCCCTAGCCAGGTTCATTTGTATATACATGGAACAGAAAAAGCTCACACAGACTGCTCAGGTTCATAAAACTCTCAGCTTGGGTTACCATCCCCCTTCTGCTTCATTAAGAACAATTTTAGTTTCACAGATACACAGATATATAGTCACACTGACCTCCATCCTTGCTCTCTGAATTGTGCCACCTCATGGCATGCAACAGCAAGCAGGAAGTTAAAAAACAAAAAATTCTGTGTCAGGCTCTCTGTAACCCAGTAAAGACCTTAGAGATATTCCAAAGATCGACCTAATGTTAAGAAACTTAACCAAAATAAAATCAAGCGATCACTGAACAGAGGGAAGTGGTTAGTTTTTCCTCTACTCATTTCAAAGGGCTTCTCTATGCTATTGCTAGAGCACTGAGAATCTGTACTCATGGTCAAGATCTGACTGTGCTTGGTGCTGTAAAAACGGCCTCTGCTCCAAAGATCTGTCCTGCATGGACATGAGCAAATCTATTTAAACTGAATAAAATGAGTGAAATATATTACCTTAGGAGAAATAGTACGTTTGCAAATATTCTCTCTCATGTGCAAGTCCATCCTTGTTACTGATTGCATTAGCAGGCAAACATGGACAGTTTGAAATTTTGGGGCATGGCACTGTAAGGCAAGAACTCTTTCATTCTGACTGAGGGTAATCTACAGGATTCTGTTAGAAAGGTAGTCATCTTGGATTTTCAGTAGAGTCAACAGAGCTTTCTGCAGGGAGTCATTCCAAGCACTCACCTGTCTTGTTAACTATATTGGACATCTAAAGAGGCTACTGTCCTAAATTAGGCAAGATAACTAACTTTCAGCATGTGGCAATTCCCTCCTGAAGAGCTTTGGGAATAAGGTATCCAGCACTTTGGAGGAAAGAAGAAACAGAAAAGAAGTCTTGAGGCAGAAATCAGTCTGAGAGAATGAAAAATATCACTAGATGTGTTTCAAAACAGAGGCCTCAGAATGCTATAGCATTCTGGAGTTCATAGGAGACAGGCATCCAGGGAGTTCATTCCTCAGAAAGCTGTAATATTATTGATGAAACAGCTTCTAATCAAAGGGTGGAAATGCTCCATCCCAAAGACTGAACGAAAGATTGTCTTTCACTCCATCTAGATGGATCAATAAAAGCCTTCTCATTTATGTTTTTTCATCTTCAGCCACTTGGCTTCTCATTTTTCTAACATTTGTCCTTAACTGTAATATACCACCTGATTCATTATATATCTTTTATATCTATTATTATGTTTCCTTTGCCACTCAACAGCTCAGAAGCAGAGCAAGAAAAACAAGACAGATGTCCCATTTTTAGTCCAAAGCCATGCTCATCTGAGTACTGTCTCTTAAAATATGTGAAGGGAAAGCACGAGACCAATGCACCAATTCAATCCTTAAAACAAAGTTTACTTGAGGCTGTTGACACATAATGCTAAGAGTGAGAAACTAAGCTAAAATGTTAAAGCAGTACTCATCATCTGACTTGTTCTGCTCTCTTCCTGGAGCCTGCTGATCCTGAGCACAGCTGAAAGCTCATGAATCAGCTGCTTTTTACAGCAAAGCCTACTGAAAGGAACTGAAATTCATGCTGACTTTCCTGAATATCATGTCTGCAAAATTAAGTAGTTTAATAGATTCACGAGCCATATAAGCTCTTTCTGAAGCTGAGATAGACACCTCCAGGAGAAGGATGAGGTGAACATCTAAGGCAGCAATTGCTTTCACTGTCCCAGTTTAACCAATGACCAAGTGTGCATTAATAGCCCAAAGCTCAGGTTTACCTGGCATGAATACTCCTTCCCAATGACAGAAGTCTGGTCTCCCATGTGACACAGCCCAGAGAACCTCACTCAGGAACATGTGCATCAAAATCTTATTAACTTTCACTAAGCCGAAGCATCTCTCTGCTAGCCAGCCTTGATGTGACAGTGTTATAATATTTCACAAAGGCAAGGATACAGGGAAGTTTAAATGACCACCAAAATGGATCAACAGTGGAAGTTGCAGTTTAAAGTATTTCATACAGACATACTTATTTTTTAGAACAGTTACTACAAATTAAAAAAAGCGAAGAATAGTATCATTCCCATCTCTCTCCTCTTTACTGTCTTCTCAGAATCAGATTAAAAGCATTTTCTCATTTTAAAAAGTCCTCTTGTCATTATTTCTTTGTTGTTCTCTTTCTTTCTCACACTTCTTCCCCACTCACATACACTTAGGCCTTTTCAGATCTTGAAATGAAACCCTACAAAGCATTTCTGGATGCCGTGAACTAAGCACTTACAAAATTTGCATTGTGAAATGGACCTTCTACAATCTGGATGAGTAAAGTAAAGCTCTTTATTATGCTAATGAGAAATAAACATCAAGATATACTTACTCGTAAAATCTCAGTCTCTCTGTCAATGTCTCCAGAACCCGATTCTTCAGGTTCCAGTCTATTCTGAAATTAGAAGAATTCCATTTTAAAATATTGCTTCTGAAGATGACAAATGAAAATATCACTTGCCAATTACTCCAAATACAGTTATAGTCAATATCCTTGCAGCAGACTGTCACTGGTGAAATAAATTATAATACAATAAAAATATTTCAGTCATGTTTCTAGTGTTTCATAGGATTTTATTTTGTAGACACTCAGCTCTATATTTACCTGCAGATGCTCTATGAGTACAGTGATAACAATCCTGCAGGACACACATGCTGTGACTGTTTAAGTGAACGAAGATGAGGCAATATCTCAGACAAATTTTAAATTTGGAAAGATACCTGTCAACATTAAGAATATCCTAAAATGCATACCTAACAACTACCTGCTGTTCCCTATAATATGCCTCAGTTCAAAAGCCAAATTCTGAGATTCCTACAACTGGAATCCAAAGAGGCATTTTATAAAGGGAAATTTATATACTAAAGCATTTTCTGAAATATTTTATTAGAAAAACAGTTTGGTTTTAGCATTGCAATCTAGTTGTACTCATCTATAAGACAATTTCAGACTCTTCTTCAGCTTCAAACCATCTTCCTATATTATGGAACCTAGAGTGCAAACTACAGTCAGCATACATAATGTCAAAGAAGTTTATAAAACCTTTAAAGAAAAAAAAGTATTTTTCATGGAAAATTTGCCATGATTTGTCTGCATAGTATACATAGCAGAATGAAATAAAGCCCAGTTATCCATTTTTTTAAACACTGAGAACTAGTACCTAAATCAGTTATAATAGTACTGTTGTACTATGAGTACAAAGCTAATGTTTCAAAAGCCCAGGAGTCAGGGATGCATTCCATGGCTGCACTGAGATTTCTTTCACTTCATTTCACTCCAGAATAAAAGGCCTTGAAACTTGCTATCACAGACAACAAGAAAGTAAAGGCAGTACAGGACCTGGTGTTCACTGCTACATCTAGAGAAGTAGCATTTGGGTGAGAAAAGCTGTTGGACTGGACACCTTGTCCTAGTGATCTGGAGCTGCCTTGATGGTTTCTTGAAGTCAGTATCAGTGGAGGCTAAATAGTGCAGCCCTTCATAACACTGTTACTCTATTTTTATGCTACAGAAACAGATTGGTATAATTTAGCAGACCCTAGATCAGGGGAGTATATAATCCATTTTGGTCGCTGGAATATATTGCAAACTATCTTGTTAAATACTCACAATACTCAGTGTGACAGATAGATAGTTTTGTTTAAAAGTCCACCACACGACTTCCACTGGTGTCAGTGGTGGGCCGAGTCTACATGTAAAATCAGCTCCCACACCATGAATTGAAAATTCAGGCAAGATTCCTTCTTCAGCTGCACACACATGTATCCTCATGGAAACAGTGGGAAAGGTCCAAGTACAGAAGAGAGATGAATCTGAAACACATTCTTTAACATTGCCTGAGTACTGAGCATTCAAACTATGAACACTGTCACCACACTGGTATGTGTTGTAGTATTTAATGACAGCAAACGTAAGTGGCTGTCAAACCATTTCTGTGTTCAGTAGCAGGAAGAAATGAATAATTCGGGTTTATAATGCCTTTTTCAGGAATTTTCTGTCTCTCTTTCTCTCATATATTATTGCTTTTGCACAGGAGAGCACAGACATCAACTGTCTTTTTAAAATGTGAATACTGGGTGTCTGTTTAGATTACAGTACTCGCACACTTTAGCCAGATATTTATTTGCATTTCTGCATGAGTGTTTTAGAAAACATGACTATTTCTGTGGCAGTCAGGATACTTTCCCAGAGAAAACCTCCTGTTTACTTCTGGATTCCTCTATGGTAAGCCAAGCTTATTGACAGAGAACCCCAAATACTCACTAATCCTCTGGAAGGAGCAGATGGTCCTGCAGGTCCTGGTAGTCCAGGGGGTCCTGGCAATCCCTTACCAGGATCACCCTAAAACAGGAATGAAGATAAATCAGCAAGGATTTAATCATATAAATGCAGAGTAGGGTTTTTCAGCATTAGCTGCAATCTGTGTGGATTTCTAGTCACAAGAAACAACAAAAGTGTATGCTTAGATACTCTAGGCAGAGTTGAACTTTGTTCATTTCTAAGACAAGCTCCCAAGAAACATGATCTTTGCACTGGCAAAGGAAGAGAGAACTTTCCCCTTTCTAACTTATGCAATGAATTTGCAAATGTACAAGCAGCGTTAATAGCATTAGACAGTATATATTTCTTGTCAGAATAATGTTTTAGTGTGGATCTTGCATTTTTAGGGTACATTATATCCTTCTCCGCCCCCAATAAAAGAATAAGTAGAAAGTGTGGTAACACCATGGTACTCAATAAGTAAATTTTGTCATTTTATTGCTACCATCTGTAATGCTTTTTCCAATACCACCATGTCATAATTATTCTTCTATGTGTTGACCTTTATCTACTGCCAACACAATGAAAGGCCCTGTTTAGAACTATGTCATTTTCTCTCATAATTACTACCATCTCTTCTTCTTTGGCTTTCTTACATCATCTCTGACATTTTGCTGAGGTTAGTTTGAAGTGCTTCTGCTTAAGATATTTAAAACTTTTATTAAATTTTCTGCTCAACTCCAGCATTTTTCACTCAAGTCAAGAGTTGAGGTTCTGCCTTAACGTTTTTAATCTTAAGTTGTAAGTCTTTTATAATGTATCTTTTCATTCTCAACTATCTATGTGCCTTTTTTCTGGAGAATTCACTAAGCAGGATTTGGCCTTTGTGTTTTAAACTTTTGGGAGAAGGATGTGCCTCTGCTTCCCCTAAAATGGGGTCAATAGGGTCATAAATAACTGGCAGACCAAAACATTATGATTGCTTAATATGCATGTTGTTTTCATCAAATGATTGGCACTCATTTAATTCCATTTTCTGAAGTCTTGCGTACCTCTAAAAGTGATTGATCCCACTTGCTTTTTACCTGATACATCTGACAGAGAGAATGCCAGGAGAAAATACAGTGTCCTCCTCTCCCTCCCTGGCTGTCTCACATTTCTTGCCTTTGGCATTCAACAACCACAGTTTATTGTTCTGAGGAGTTCCTCAGTGTCCATTTTGGACATTCTTCCTACATGGTGATCCAGGTTTCAGGACAGATGTATGTTTAGAAGGGAAGAAAGAACTATGTAACTGCACGTATCCCAGAGCTTCTCTCACCATTGTGAGTGAAAAGCTCAGCCTTCCTTCTACCAATGCTTTCATGTAACACAGTTTCCTACCCATACATCCTGACACTGCAGACCTGCAAGGTGTGACCTTGCTGAGGTCCTTCCCACCTTGCACCAGAAGGAGAGAAACCAGACTGGTTTCACTGAGCTTTCTTGAAGGGGCAGAAGTCACAGAGACATAACTGACACTGTTAGCCAGCCTCTACTGATCTATGCTTTACCCTCCAACCTGCCAATTTGTTATCTAGGCTTCTGAGCATTTTAATTACGTTCTCTAAATTCATATATTCAGTCACATAGCAGGAAACACTGAATTTTACCTGCTTCTTGATCACTTGCTCTTTATGCTTGAGAATTCATTAGATAAATGTATTCATTCAGTTCTTTGTTCCCTGTGGCTTTGTGAAATGGTTCCTATAGTGATACTTCAGTCATATTCACAGAGAATGTGTTTAATTAATTTGGGGCTATTTTCACTGTCTGCCAGCATGTTCATTTACAGATACTCTTCATTCATTTTAACATATCTTTTGCTTTTTTTCAGCGATTATTACATTAGCTGCTGTCAGTGTTTTGTGCTTGTTTTCATGCAATTTCTTCCACTTTGCGTATACTACAAGGAAGAAAAAACCCCAGCTCTCACATTTGGATCACAGCCATGTCTAGGAAGCCTAATTGTATTCATTTCCAAGGAGCATCTCATGGCTGTATCTCTGCACTGAACAAGAACCACAGTGAAAAAGTGATATCCAGCTCCCCATTCTCCACAGATAATGTAGCACCCCATTCCTTTCCAGCTTTCCATTTTCAATGAGAAGAACCAGAAACAGGCAGGTGGATCCTGCTACTGATCCCCAAATTTAAATATTATTATGCTGAATAAGTGCTGACTGTCTTTAGAAAGCATAACTGGTTTGAATTTTGTGTGTGTGTGCACAGATCAATTCTTTAAGCTTTGCTCAACCTACCAACATAATGGGTCCTTGGAAGTCACACTGATTGGGATAATGAAATAATTTTCTGAACAACTAATAATTTAAAAATTATTCATATGTGTAAAAGAGGATCGGAGCAGTGTCTTCTTGTTTGTCCTGCTTTCTGCTGCCGGAGTTGGGTCTGGTTAAAGTATCTCCAAGAAAAAGCTCTGCATATGAAGCTGTCAGTGTTCCTTAGTGCTTTTGAACATATTGTTAGGATTTTTAGCACCTGCTTGCTAACTTATCTTCACAATGCCTCTTTGAAGTATCCCTTGAAAATATTAGCCTATTTTTAAAAGTGGAAAACAAAGCTTAAGATGTCTTTCTTAAAATAGCCATATAAGTAATCAGGAATAGGCTGCAGGAGTCTTTTGCTTCCAGACATAGCCTTAGTTCACTACAGCTAAGCTGTTTCTCCTGCTGCCAAAACATTCTCCTTCTGATGCTTATTCTAATCAATAAAATAAGGCTGGGGACGATTCTTTGGCCCTAAGGTCAGGTGGAACAGACTGGCTGTGTTCACAGTACTTAGATACTTGGTCCTGGGCCTCCTTTTAGCCCTATATGTTCAAAGCTAGTATTTTGAGTATGGATTTTTTGTGCAATTTTCATGAAATAGCATGAGAACAATACTGCAACCCACCAGCATGATGACTACTTGAGAGTAAAAACCTGCTGGGATAGCACTGTGAAAGCATGTAGAATAAACAGAGCCAACCTGTGCACCGTCTCATCTTGCAGCATACTGGGAACAGTTAACAACCAATGCTATCCCTGAACAATGCTGAGGCATTAGAGAATCATAGAATCGTTTAGGTTGGAAAAGACATTTAAGATCATCTAGTCCAATCGTTAACCTAGCACTGCCAAGTCCACCATTAAACCATGTCCCTAAGCACTACACTACCTGTCTTCTAAATACCTCCAGGGATGGAGACTCAACCACTTCCCTGGGCAGCCTGTTCCAAAGCTTGACAACCCTTTCAGTGAAGA